TTGTGACACCGCGTTGTCTCCGTGCTGCTCACAGTAGACGACGCGACACTGCGTCATCTCTGTGCTGTACCGTGCTACCCACAATAAACGGACGACACTGTCGTCTCCGTGCTGTAACACTACGCCGCTTGTCCCGGCTCTCACTCCTTCACTCAGGAAACCTGTTCGGCTGTCCCCCCGGGTCGGGACACCTGGTGGCTTGAGAATTATGTTGGATGCGTGTATGTGCATGCCCAAAATCAGGAGAAAAATATAGGAGAAGGGATTGTGGTGTGGCCGTTTCCTCTGGCTGTGGTTTCTCACTTTCCTACTCTCTATTCTCTGTCTCTCAGGCAAGTACACACCTTTTATGGGAAAAACCTAAAATAAATAAATAAAATAAAAAGGAAAAGAAAATAAATTCTAGTCCCAAGGTACAAACAGTGTTATATAAAACGCTGCAAAGATAGATTCCCTTCAAACCTAACTCCTATAGGATACAGTTAGAGCTGTGTTCAGAGGAAAATTTATAGCTTTAGAATGACTTCATTATTGGGCCAGTCAGGTGGCATGGTGGTTAAGGTAGCTGGAACCCACATGACTGACTCTGAAAGTTGACTCCTGGACCTGGTGGTTTAGGAAGCACACTTGGTGCATGTGTGTGTGTGCCCAAAATCCTGAGATGAGAATAGAGGAGAAAGAATTGTGATGTGGCCATCATTCCCAGGAGGTGATTTCTCATTTTCTCTTTCTCTGTCTCTGTTTCTCCAGCGAGTACACATGCCTTATAGCAAAATTTAAAGAAAAAAAGAGACTTCATTATTAATAAAGAAAAATGTAAAGAAACTTACTATTTATTTATTTATTTAGGATTTTGCTATAGGGTGCATGGGCTCGCCAGAGAGACAGAGGGAACATCAGCAATCACCCCCATAGCGGCAATGGCCATGTCGTAATCCCTTCTCTCTTTTCCTTTTGGGATTTGGTCACACATGCACATGCACCTGGTGTGATTTCTTTTTTCTTTTTTTTGGACAGGTTTTTGCTACAGGGCACGTGTGCTTGCCAGAGAGACAGAGAGGTAAAAAGTGAGAAG